TAAAAAGAAGAAAAGAAAAGGACTCAAAGCGACCATATGGAGGAATAAAGTATACCATGACATAAAGGCTGATTTTTGTATAAATTGCATTTTCGGCATTATTGCAGAATGGCAGTAGATGACCTCAAAGAGCAGAGCTATGTTAGGATTGGGCTCAGCTCACTTTAGGGAATCATGAAAGCTGATCGAGGGTGATTGTGCTCTGAAGCAGATCATAAATAGCATGGGTGTTAAGCGAGCGCAATTCTGGGCCCACGGTAAGCCCTGTAAGCCCAGAGTTAGTGCAGAGGGAGGACTGGGATTACTTGCTTCTCTCTTTGGCTTTACAGTCACCACCGTATGCGTGTGTTGTGAAGGACAATGAGTTCAAGCTCACTTGGAGATGTGAGTGATGAGAGTTAATGATGCAAGCAGAGCAACGGAATAGATGGTGGTGTAGGAGGGTTAAGCAGTGGTGGGGTTCTCCACACCAGGCTGTTATGGCACCCTCCTGGGAGCTTCCTGCAAGGAGCATGGTTAATCCGGAGCAGCCCCTGGCCTCCTGCTTTACAGCTGACTGGGGACAAACTATAAAAAAGCGTCATCTCTGTATTTTGTGGAGTAAGGGCGAGGCGCTGGCAAGAAGCCCATGTGCTGCAGCCATGTATGAAAAAGCACAAACAACCCTTGGTGTCAGGGTAGGGTGGGGCCCTTGTGGAGTTACCAGGGTAGCCTGGTCATTGGGTGCATCAGGTAGTTGGGTGGTAGGGATGGTGCATGCTAAACAGGCACAGATGCTGATGGAAATTAATTTCTTGTGCTTTATAAATAAAAGACAGTTTGACTAAATTAAAGAAAATCTGTGTTTTCCTGACTTTCAAGCTCTAAGGGGCTGTATCCATGCAAATCTAGTTTTAATGGTCAATTATTTTATTTTTTAGAAAGTCAATGAAGTCCAGAGAATAGAAGATAGTCCTGATAAAGCTGTAGCTGTGTTCTACATTAGAGCTTGTGATATGAGTGTTCTAATAGTGTACTGCAGCTTTAGGTGTGTATAAATTCTCAGTCCCATTTAATCCAGGGTTCAGACATGATCATCATTTCAAGCTCATCTAGCAACTTGAACTAATGCTCTAATACTATGCTAATTCCAGTTTCAGACACAGTGAGTTTTGTTGGAATGTACTTATCATGTACATATCATTCCAATAAGTACAATTATTTACATCTTTACTACAGATTTGCCTGCAAAACACTGTTTAAACTGCTGTGAGAGGACAATCCGCGACCATCTTTGCAATTACTGAATATGCATATGGAGAAGATGAATATAGTCACCATGATGCTGCCCATTGACTTTAAAGTAGTCATTTTGAACACTGAATGTCAGAATTTTGGCCATTGCATCTTGGTTTTGTGAAACTAGAAATTATCATGTTTAGATGACAAGGGTAAATCACAGGGTAATAAAAAAGCTAGAATTTCATAGACAAGAACTAAGCCACAAACTTCTAGGACAGACTGAACATGACAAACCCGGTTAAGGGATCCAGTTTAGTAAGTCAAATTAGCTGCTGTTGGTGTGGCAGCTTTTGGCTGTAGCTACCTGTGTTGGTGCACCAATCAATCTGCACAGAATGAGACTAGCAACAACGTAGCAACGAGTGATTATGGAAAAATTAGTCCAACTCAATGATTTGTAGCAGTGATAGGGAAAATAACTATTAGCAGCTTAAAGTAGGTGCCCCCAAGAAAATGTTTCTCATCTATAAGGGAAGTGATTAAAAGAGGTAGTAAAAACATTAAAGAATTATCCATGCAACTGGATCCTGATGTAATACAACCCAAATGTTTAACAGAAATGAAGAGCTGCTGTGCTGGTTGAGGAGCCAAAGAGTTGGGTTGACTGGGAATCTGGAACATCAATTTTTGTGGTTTTTATTATTGTTATTGTCATGAAAGAACAAAACAATATTAGCAAACTAAATCTGCTTATTGTAGCAGGCTGTAAAATTGTTTATTTCTGCTGTTAAGTTGAACATATTAACATGGCATCTATGAGGGTTGACTCACTTTTGGGCCCTCAAGTGGCCACTGCAGTTTTCTTCATTTTTCAGGTATTACTCACCAAAATTGGTTGTTGGGACATTGCTACAAATCTCTACGTGTTAGTGCATAGAGTGGTTCAGTACTGTTGTAGAATAAAAGAAATGCAAGGCTCAAATTATACATGTATAGGATCCTTATGCGCGTGCATAGACAAGAGGCATGAAGATATATCGCCCATCTATTGTAGCGCCTGAATTTACCAGGATCCTTTATCTGAATCCTGCATTCTGCACCGTGTATATTGAAGTGATGGATATTTTTTGTTGTTGTTGTTTGTTTATGTTTCTTTTTCTCACAGTGTTGGATTTCTTTTTGATGTGGCTACGAGAGTTACAGTTTCAGCATCACATGGCACCGAATATACATGGCGCTCATATCCTGTAGTATTTATAAAGTGCATGCTTGTTAGTAAGTCAGTGTTATTGCTTTAGTTGTGCCAAAATACTTGAAAAGATGCATAATCACCAATGCTCCACACACAGCTGTTTCCAGGAGTCCCTTTAAACACAGCTGCTGCAGTGCTGTGCGTTTCAAACACTCCGCCCATGTTGTTCCTCCCTTCTCAGTCCCTAAAGCTGTCACCTCAACAACGGGCAGTAAAAGACGTTTTTGTGCTCCCCATGTCCTCAGAGAAAAACATCAAAAGCACAGAGCCAAGTGCGTGATGACCGTAAGTGTAGTTTGTAGTATAAATTTCTGAAAAGGGCATTTGAAAATGTGTTAATAATGGTGGCAAAGTGGCTGGGTCCAGTGTTGAACACTGAGACTATTGTCTTGGCTCTCTTGGAGCCTGCTGGAGAGATTAAGCACCAAGAGAAGAGATGAGGTACAGAAGAGAAGAGGGAGGGAGTGGGTCGCAGGGTTGATTTGACGAGCTTGGATGGTGGTTTGGAGCGTATTGCAGGGGAGGGGGGCTCGCTCGCTTGCTCTCACTCTCTTCATCTCTTTTTAAATGAGAAGTCGGCAAGGGCAGCTAGAGGCACGCAGTGTGTTGTAGTGCTCTAGGGCCATGTGGTTTGTATTAGTGAGGACAGGGTGTCTGGCACCAGCATAGAGAGTGGGTGGTGCACAGGGAGTTTAGGTTGTATGGGGTTGAGAGGTTACAGGACATTTGGATTTCAGATATGGGAGAGAAAATGAGATTCCACAATGAGGAAGACCAGGACAGTATTGATATTATCACCCCTTACTCTGTCTTTAGCTTAATACTGCTGCTCTTTAGATTTTTAAAGCCAATCAAAATTTGACATTTTTGGTTTGGAATGTATTTCAATGAGCTAAAATGCTTTGAATACTTTGAAATACTTTACTGAAAACAGTAATACTCGAAACCACAGAAACTGCGTAATGGTGATTGAGTCTAAGACAGCATGGCAGAGCTGGGTACTGGTATGAGTCTAGACAATGCCGATGAAGATGAAGCAGATGGAGACTTAGATGAGGCTCTTTGAACGACCAGGATGAGGAAGACATGAAGAGGAGGTGGAGAGAGGTGCAGGGAACAGAGGCTGATTGGCTTGTTTGAGGCAGATAAGAAAATATCAGAACACAACAAAAGAAATGAGTTGACACCATAGGAAAATGGGAAATTATGTCACGGTTTGCCCTGGCAGACCGTGGGGATGTGTGGAAGGAGGACCCGAAACCTGGACTCTTTAGTGAAGACAGTGCGTTTATTTACAGTGAGGTAAATAACAGATGCATACAAAATTCCCGTTGCTTCCTAGACTCCCGTGTGTGTGTTCCCCTCCGTGCTGTCCTTCTGGTTCCTCGTTCCGTCTGCAGGAAAATAACTGAAGCAGCCGTCAACACTGACCTCCGCGGGCATACACGATCTGCACTACCGTACACTGACGCACACTAACTTGGGATGTAACGCAATGATCCCACACCGGTGGGAGCTCCAACACTCTCCTAAATAGCTCCCCCGACGAGCCCTGATCAGCAGCAGGTGTGTGGCAGGGACTTCAGGTGTGGCCAGTCCTCCAGCAGGGCCACACCCATTCGGCCTGCAAGTGCCTGTCATCCATCCTACAGCCACACACATATACACACACACACACCCTGCCTACACATACAATAAGTGGAACACAGACATGACAGCATTGTGCAGAAGACACACACATCACAAAATAATAATAATAATAATTATAATAATTATAGTCCACCCCGAGTCCCCGGAACCGGGTCCGTGACAAATTATGTGAATATTTTATACAGTAGCTACTGATTATATAAGATAGACCTGCATTCATCTATTTTCTGCCACATATCTGAGTCCAGGTTGCAGAGACAGCAGTCTAACCGGAGGTGTCCAGACCTCCTTCTCCCCAGTTACCTCCTTAAGCTGTCCAGGAGGGAAACTGACACCTTCCCAAAGCAGGAAAGAGACATAATCCAGGATTGCTTCCCAGTTGGACGCCTTAAACACCTTAACTGGAACTTTAGGTTATGATAGAGCAATGAAAGCCCAAGCTCCATCCATATTACTGCACTGTTCCTTCTGCTCCATTCTTCCCCCCTCCATTCTTCCCCCACTCACTAACAAAACACCTGAGATACCTGAACTTTACTGCTTCTGTGTCTGCAGTAAACAGGAATACAAGAGTAATAGTCTATAAAATAAATAAATATTAAGGTAGCCTTTTGTTGCACTTTGCAAAAACTCCTGTCTTTATGAATAGTGGGTGATTTTACAGTGAGTACCATACAGCAGAGAGAGTTCAAGGCTTCTCTGAAACTCTGTAAATAAAATAAAGTTTAGGTTTTATAGAGAAAAGACTTCTGAAACTTCTCAAAGTCCTTCTGATAAACTGGTAAATGAATTCAAAGGCCATGTGTGATGTGCACAATGATGTGCATCCTTCTAAGGCTCTGTTGCTTTGTTGTATTTGTTTGTTGCTCTACTCCAGCTTGATCAGATACTGATGTTGCAGCCAGCGGTGGACTCAGACCAGCACAGTGTATCAACAGAAGCCATGCAACCACAGAACAAGGAGAGAGCCTATAGGCAAAAACTGTTGGCCTATCAGGAAGCCCAACAGAGACAGGTCCAACTTGTTCAGAAGCTGCAGACCAAGGTAGCTAGAAATGGATCTCACAGTTTAGACACCTCTACACGTATGCCTTGAAGCTTCCTAACCATCCGTCTTGCATTTGTCTTATATAAGGTGATTCAGTATAAGAAGAGATGTGGGGAACTTGAAGAGCAAGTTCTGGAGAAGACTTCGGAAACTGAAAAGATGAGATTGTTGGTGTGTTTTTCCGACAGTATTAGAATCAGTACTGCTTTGGTATAAATTAAAAATTTAAGTTTTATAAGCCTACTAGAGTCATTTAGAGGTTCATTTGCTCCTTACACCCAACTGACTGTTAAGCTGATGATGCATGTTTAAAACAATCTTATTAAGCTCTTTGTTTTTTATAAATTTCAAATGCAAATGATCTCGCCTGATAAAGAAGGAATGTGGCACAATGCCGGGTGATATTGATAAAGTCAGTCTTAATTATTATCACAATTGCATTACAGTCAAATAATTTAAAAAGTAATGTTTTACATTTTTGCCCTTTTTAATCTCACACAAAATAATTATTCAAAATTAATTTAAATATAATTTAAAACTATTAGCTATTATAACTCAATCTGGAATTTATTTTAGAATCACGTTTAGGTTTTCAGACAAATGAGCATATTGTAAATGTATTGGGTTTGAGCAAATATTGGTATTTTACCTATACCATTTTACTACTCAATATACAGTATCACCATTACTAATGAGTTCACTGTTTAATAGGCAGTAGACTCCGTTTTTGTGTGATCTTTGACAGCTGTTAACTTGGGCAAAGTTAGATTTTTGATGCTTCTCTGCTCTGTGGACTTGCTTTCGGAAAGTACCACTTTTTTAGTTCCATTTATATAAAAGATGTATGTAGCCTCTGTGACCCACTGGTTTTTAACACTGAAGTTTTAGTGTTAGCATTTGTCTGCTCCGTGTTGCTTGTCTTGGATGCAGGAGTAACCTTATTTTGAATTTTATTAGCTAGCACTAACAAGCTTTGTAAACAAGCCATGTCCAGAAATTGTACAGATGCACAAACACAACATCTTCTAATTAGTGATAAGTAATATAAATAAAACACTACAATTTCCCTCACCAAAAGTTAAGCACAATCTTCCTGGGTGGTCTGTACCAAGAAAACCCTATTAAAATGATTTTTTTTAAAATGGCTGAGGTTAAGTGTACTGATTTCACTGAGGCCTGAGGGCAATGATTGGCTAAAGCCGCCCGTGTGGGAACACCTATAAATCAAAGATACCAGGCTGTAAATTTTAGCTCAGTTTTGGTACTAACCTCAAGTGGCCATTAGAGGAACTGCATTTATTGGCATTGTCTTTTACCCCTGGAAAATGTCAAACACTAAATGTACTGCATTATATAGTGTATAAGCTGTTTTAGACACACAGGTAAACTTTATTATGTCCCACTTTTATTCAAATGCACTTAAATGTATCAGATTGCAAAGCCCACGCAGAGACTTTTGATTAGTACACTGTAATTATGGTGATTTTTGTATATGGCCTCATGGTTATCAGGATGCCCGTAGTAGTTTTGTGTGTTTGTTCAGCTGCAGGGCCACCTAGACAAAGTCGAGTACCTGCAGCGGGTTGAGCAGGATCTCAACGTAGCTATCCAGAATAAGTCAGCTCAGCTGGAAGAGGAACAGAAAAGGTGAGTGGTGGGCACTATGCAGTGGAGGTACCCATGTTACACAGGCAATAAAAAAATGTGTCTTCTACTCATAATTAATACATAACACTGTAAAAAGTGCACAAAGTAAAAATCCATAAATCAGAAAAGCTGTATCAGAAGGGAGGGATGCAAGAAATTTGCTTCTGTTTTCTTTTTCTGTTTCGTCTTGAGAAGCAGAAATCAAGTTGAAATATTTCTGAGAAATGTTTGGATCAGAGATATTCCCAGTAGTCGCTCGAGCTTCCCTGCAGTTCTTCCTTTCCCCGTGCTGCAAGGGAGAGGCTGAAACCTGCCCTTGGCAAATGACCTCGGCATCCAATTTGTCAGAGAAAATTAGTGGGACTGTTTTGACTCTGTTCTCCAGAACATTTTAATAATGCTCCACATTAAACGTGGGCCAACCTCTGGAGCCGAGGCCAGATTTTAATGCCCAGTGATTTATACAATTATGGAGCTTTATTTGAAATACCCGTGGTGCAAAGTCTGCCAGCAATCAGTCATTTTTATTGCCTAAATATCTCACTTATTGCAGAGTTACCAAGCTCTGTTCACTTTAGCACTTTGTGTAATATAAGTATAGTGTAGAGATAAGTCCCACAGCTACCACTTACAAGTCCTCATTATTGAATCCCTCTTTCCTCACATGTCAGTTCCCTTTTAACTCGATATCATCCCATTCATGCAAACAAGGGTTTGGCTGCCTCTCAGACAGATAACCAAGCAAAACAATGTAGCGTGCTTTACTGTAAGAGGGTGTGTGTTGAGTGTGAGAATGATGTAAACATTTGGTAAATGACTCTACAGGCAGATCTGGTTGATATTAAATCTTATTCAACACAGATATTGTAAAACTGTCACACATGTTTACCCTGTAAGCGCAGCTGGCAAGTGTGGATCTAAAAGAAATATATGTTTGAGTGATAATGCTGACTATAAGAAGTTTGGGTTCTGTGACAGGGTTTATAGGAGGCTGTCAACACAGCTATTTGTCACTTTGTCATACGATGGGTTTTTTCCAGGAGTGCCAGCCTCAGCCAAGTGAATTCCATGCTGCGGGAACAGCTGGACCAGGTGGGCACTGTCAACAAGGGGCTAACCGAGAGCTTATGGAAGGCCCGTGAAGATGCCGAGTCGTGTGATACTCGTTTGCGGAGAGAGCAAGAGGTGAGAAAAACCTCAGGAATGAGGTGCTTGAGGCAGAAAGGCAACAGGGTTCATCCCTTTCTGTATAGAGATTGTGCAATTAAACTCCTGTTGAGTTCACATGGGGTGGGAATTCCATTCATAGCCAGTTTTGTCAATTCATTCTCATTCCCTGTTCATTTCACTGCTATGATTTTTGAGTTGTTGTTTCCTGTGAAAACATTCCAACTGCTGAGGGGGAGGAAAATTTTGTGCAAACAATCTGGCGTTCGTGCTGTAAATGGGCTACATCTGTTGATTCAGGGAAATCCAATTATTTGTACGTTTGCCAGCGTGAGTCCAGGAGTTCTATTATTGCATCTGCTTGGGATCACAATAAAATTAAAGGTTGCTGTAAGCAGCCCACACCACCTTAACGCCAGGTTCTACTCCGGTTTGCTGCTTGTCTCTGCAGACGTGCGCCTCCCGGTTGAGTTGGGAACAGGCTCATGTCAGAGCGCTGTGGCGCCAGGCCGCCTCCCTGCGGAGCAGTTTCACCCAGCTAAGGACGTTCACTGACAGGTGAGTGTGGCGTGCTGCCAGAATCCCTCCGGCAAGTCAGAATTCCACAAAACCCCCACCTTCTCCTGTGAGTCTCACGACTGTGACGACAATCCACCTCTCTTAGCCACACATCAAAGTGGAGCAGGTCAACAAGGTCATTGGCCCCTGCTTATTGTTTCTCACTGTGGGGAAATACTGCTCAAGGTGCCTGCACTCACTGTTAAAATCATCCATCAGGACGAAGCCTAAGCTGTTGTCTTCAGGGAGACTTGGCTTCTATAGTGCTGAACCACTGTATCGTAGAGTACTTTGCTTTTATAGTCAGTGCTCAGTTCATAGACAGCTTTGTCATGTCAGATGCTGAGCTGCAACTTAAACTTAAGACACTTCAAAGAGAGCTCAGTTCTCAGAGCTTAATCATGAGAGGCATTCATCATCTTTTTTTAAAAAATTAGGATAAAAGTTTGCAACTGAATGTAACCATCATCCGCTTTTCTTATGCTTTAAATAATTTCAAATGTCATAACACATTCTGCAATCCTTATTTTCAACAGAACTCTGTCTGATATGCGTACCGAGTGTGTCGCAGCTAGCCGGCAGCTGCACGCTGCCTGTATGAATTTAGAGGCCAGAGTAACACAAGGAAGCCCCTGTGGTGGTGTGGAGATGTCCGCTCTGGAGAGGCAGCTGAAGGACAAGCTGAAAGAGGCTATGCAGCTTCAGGCTCAGTGCGATGCAGAGAAAGTCAAACTCAATTCCAGGTAAAGGCCTCCCCAAGTACAAATGTCAAGATTAAAGTCAACGTGTCAAGATTAAGTACAAGATGGTAAAGTTAAAGTCAACATCTCAGGATTAATGTCGGGATGTCAATATTAATATCAAGAACAAAGTCGAGATGTTTAGATAAAAGTCAAGATGATGAAAACGAGGTGAAATCTACTGAGTTAACTTTATTCTTGAAATGTAAAGTGTAATATTGACTTTTTACTTTTTCTCTCAAAGCTTTAACTTTATTCTCAAAATGCCAAAACTCTTCTTCCTTGAACTTTTATTTTTTCAGCTCAGCTTTATTCCTGACATTTCAACTTTTTATTGACTTTATTCTCAAAAAGCAAGATACCTAAAAGAAATCTACCATGTCTGTCTTTTAACTTAATGTGGTTCTTGTGTTCCTTTGTGAAAATGTCCTATGGTTACCTTCATTTTGTTTAAAAACCATCCACCGCTGGTTTCAGACTGAATATAGTAACTGAGTAACTCAATCTGTGGGTTAGACTAACTGCTCTGGGCCATCACTATTCCATTTTCATAAACTGAAACAGGAATACTGGCTTCAAGGTCATGTGCAGTGCGATTGTTTGATCATTTAGGAAATTCTTATTTTTCTATGCCTGAATGAAAAGACAAGTATAATCCACTTGATGAAACCCCAAACCTTTATATATGGAGTAAATCTAGTTCTTTTATCTAGTAATGGGAATCAAGTCTTTTGTGCCATCTCTTGTAGACTATGAGCAGAACATGATAGCATTGATGGTCTAGAGGGAGGAGTACATCCCAGTCTCTTTCTGTCTTCTCCTTGATGTCTCCTGAACTCTCCTGAACCCTCTTTTCATGGTCTATCTAGAATCCTGGAACTGACCGACACAATGAAGCACCTCCAAAGCCAGAACAGTGAGAAAGATATCAGCCTCAACACCATGCAGATCAGTCTGGACAGGATGGTAGGACCTTGGGAATATATGGTAGGAGGTGACAGATAGCTAAATTGGCTCTAGTCTGGACCTGAGGCTTGATAAAGTCCATAACTTCCTAGTCTAGAGGGCTGCAGTCTGGGGAATGTCAGACTTACTCCATGTACGCTGCTTATCTGACTTAAATGGTTTCCTGCTCAGGAGACAAGGCGAACCGAGGATAAAGCAGAGATGGAAATACTCCACACAGAGATCCAAGCCCTCCAAAAGATTTTACACCATGTTCACCAGGTCGGAACAAACCAAAGTAGTGAATTAGATTGTGAAGCTGTTATGCAATGAAGTCAATAATGCCTTTTATTTTTACTATAATTTCTTTATAGTTAGTGAGCAGTGAGGGGGACGGCTGTGGCCCTGAGAGTGTGTCATCCTCGCCTCTTCATGGCCGTTCTCCTCTTAGGAACGCTACTGTGATATCAGTACAGAATGCTCTCTCCAAACACCAGAAACAAACACAGGTATAACAGTTATCTAACACACAGTCTGTGCGCTTCTTCTAATTTATATCTGCAAAAGTCAAACTTTTGGGCATATACTTGTAGTATGTAATTTCAAAGAAACAACAATCTCCCCACTTTGTAATAACAGTTTTGTGTTTATAAACACACGTAACACATGTGTTTATGTGTTAAGAGTGTGTTTGCCTTGCAGGTTTGTGTCTTTGATTACATGCTTTAACATTACCTAGTCCTCTTATCCACAATGAACTTTAAATAGTTTAAATAGTTTATTGCCTATAAATGGAATGAGCTACACAAAACTGTGAGGACATTAACTACTACTATAAGCTACTATGAAGTGATTTCTTTTTTCATTTTTTTACTTTTTCTGTGATCATTATTTGTCATATTTGTCAACTTAAAAAAGTTAAAACTTAAAAAAAAGTTTAAAAAGTTAAAAAGTTAAAAAAGTTCCTACCTGAGCTGGGCTGATCAGAATCAGCTGATTTGTTTTTAGGGTGTTTAATAAAGACATGAAAAACTTTCATACCTTCACATTCTGAATATTTTCCAAGTAACAGGGCCACAAAGCACATAACGGAAACTTCGCAGGTTCAGAGTCAGTTCATTTTTGCAGTATTTTTGAGTCATTGTAGCTTTACAAATCCAGGAGAATGTGAAATTTTCAGGGCTGGAAAACACATTTAAAATCTGTTGATGCAACGTGGAAGTATAGTACTTTTACATCCTCTGCAAGTGTCACAGTCTAAATTCAGAATCATGGGTTTGAATCCTTTGGCTTAAAGCGCCTTAAAGTGACTGTTGTTGTGACTTGGCAATTGTTGTTGTTGTAATGTGGCGTTGTATGGGTAGAATTTAATGAATTGTATTGGCGATTCTAAATCAGCTTCAGGTATGAATGAGTGTGAATGGTTGTCTGTGTCTCTCTCATTGTTTCTTCTCATGTAACTCTGTGTTATGTGAATTTTTATGTTGCAGCCTTTCAAGCATAAAAAGCTCAATCACTCACACTGACATATAACCTGCAGGAGCTACGTGCACGTTTGGGGGCTGCTCTGGAGCAAGTGGATACACTGCGCGAACACCAGCAAGAGAGGGACGCTGAGAGGAGAGAGTTGGAGCAGAAGATTCAGGATGTGAGGCGGGAAAGTCAGGAGGATAAAAAAGCTCTGGAAGAAAGCCTCAGGGACAGCAACAGATATCGCCGCTCATTGGAGCTCATCTCCAGGTACATCCTCACCAAGTACTTCTACTTCTTTTTCTTGACTACACTTTGATTTTGGCATTTAGAAAGCTATTGAACATGCTTTGTCTCTTTCATGTCCACTGCTTATTTCTTTCACCACATCACACAGTGAAAAAAGCAGCCTGGAGAAGCTGCTGTCAGGGCTTCAGCAGGAAGTGGACTCCCAGCGTGCTGAGATGGAGGTACTACGGAGCTCCTCGCTAGAACTTCAGAGACAGAGGGATCTCCTGAGGCAGCAAAGGGAGGATCTAGAGATGCAGCTGGCACGCCAGAACACGGAGGCCCAAAGAGGGTACAGCAAGATCACAGAGAATGACCATTACACAAAGCACATCCTGACAGGCGTGATTGTTTTCAAGCCCCGTTTGTTTAGAGTTCAGATCAGTAACACATGTCATTCTCCAGCCGGCAATGCACCCACATGACATTTGGATGAAAATGTAAATGATTTACATAGCATTACTGAACTCATGCATGAGGGATACTTTTCTTTCCCATTTTCAGGGTTTCTTGGGCTAAAAAATTTGATTAGCTGAGAATTGGAGAAGGACATGCAATTGAACAAAAAACAAGAAAAACAGAAAAAAGAAAACTCGGCACTTATGCCAACATTTCTTCATTTTTTTTTAAAGTACAGATGGATTACTGTTAAAGGGATCGTGTGTGAGACCAGCAGAACAGTGGTGGGGAGTTAAACATGTGATATAATTTCTGTTTCAGTGAGAGGAGTTTGCAGGAGCTCGAAGGGAAGCACTCGGATCTGCGCAGGGAGCTTGTGATGGTGAAGGAGGCTCTGAGCCAAATCACCCTGCAGAAGGAGGTGTTGGAGGATGACAAGGCCAGCCTCACTCTGGCTCTCTCCAAGGTTAACAACTCAGCTCCTCAGCGCAAGTTTTGCAAAGTTTCTCTGAGATCTGTCATAATTCTTTTAATATTATTTGAATCACTCTGCAGATTGAGTCTCAGAGTGCTGCGCAGGAACTGGCCTTCAACAAACTCCAGAATCAGGAGGCGGCGCTGAAAGATTCTCTCGACAAAATGGCCGCCCTTAGTGAAGGCTTAGCAAAAGACAAGGTGGAGCTCAGTCGTATTCTGCTGCAGGTCAGTAGCCATGCAGTTCCCCCATAACATACAAAAAAAGTAGAGAGCACGAGGTGAGGTGACTAACTTGCTCTGCTGTGTGCTGCACTGTGAGTCACAGATCTGTCATCAGGTGCTCCCAAACTTACAGTATATAAATCATATAACTAATATATAAAGACTATAGGGTTGATTTTGATCAAGAGCATATTATTTGATATTATTGACTTGGAAAATTTCTCTTGGTCTCACAAAGTCATATAGCTCTACTCTATACCTGCAGTTTTTGTATCCTGGTGATCGCTGAAATTAAAGTTAATTTAGAAAATAAATAAGTGCCCAGAGGTGTAACCAAGCAGACTTGGTACTAGAAGGAAAGGAAGTAAAATGAAATATCCTGGCTTCCCTTCCAGACAGAAGGAGAGAAGAGGGAGCTCTGTGAACGTAGACGGGAAGCCGAGGCGGAGCGGGCAGCAGCCAGAGAGGATGCAGCGCGGGCACAAAAGGAGATGATGGATCTGCTCGCCGAGAAGCAAGCCCTGGAGAGCTCCCACAGCCACTTGCAGGATCTCTGCCTGAAGCTAGAAGCAGAGCTGAGTCTCCTGCAGAAGGAGAAAGCTCAGGCCCTGGAGAAGCGCTCGCAGGTCAGGCCGCTCACGCTCCTCCCTACTCCCGACGCCTTGGAGAATTGGCTGATGTTATTAACAGCTTTCAGCAGGTTCACGGAGCTTGTTGTCACATTAAAATGCATAGGAGGTCCTGGATGCATCTGCTGTGTTTTTTCCTCTCACATTTGATATGCAGCGCTCCACTGTGTGTTTTATATGTAACTTGGGACATAACAAGCAGAGGACCTTGGTGAACAAATGTGAACTGGAAAAGATAAATAGACAGACATATAATATCCAGCAGGAGTTTTGGTGAAAGCAGCAATAAATTAACACCTAAAGTATTTCCATTCTTCCTCAGCAGATCCAGATCCCCCTGTTCTGTCCTCTAAAGAATGAAAAGAATCCTCTCCTGCTGTATTATCTGTTCTGAATGTGAAACTGGGATATCCATGTTGATCTGAGCAAAAATATAACAAACCTAAAAAATCTGACAAATTCCATCCAAACATTTTTAGATAGCTTATCTGTAAAAATAAATCAAACTTGGATGAAGCAAACCCTGTAGCGGCGTGCATCGCACTGAGCTCATGTTTCATCCCCATATTGGGGGCCTACACACATCCATAACATTGGTGTAATTCATCCACTTGAATATTTACCTAAGAAGAGGCTGAAAGACATTGTGTGCTAATATTTAGTTAGTGTGAGTTCATTTTTTTTGTTTGGTCCAAAATCAAATTATAGTGATTGTTGCTTTTCAAACATTCTGCCGCAGTGAAATATTAGAAGTAGCAGGGGTTGGTTAAATATAGTGTGCTAGTGTGTCAGTAACTGGTACAGTATATTAGGGTCATTCTGAGTACTTACTGTTAAGACTAATCACACTTTAAACACTGGTCAGCACCAATTAATAGTTTCAATACACTGCACCAACTTATTGTCTCTGATGTAGAGGAACACAAACAGCCATTGATGCAATGCATGTTTGACCGGTTTTCTAATAATTCACTGGTGGAAACTTCAAAAGTGTCTTTTAAGTTAAACTTCAAGACTCAGCATGTGGGATAGGTGGCTACTCAGAACAAGTTACAGCACTGGAAAGACTTCATATGCAATCACCCGACTAGTGTCGTGTGAAAAAGCAAGTTTAGTACAGCCAGTTAATATCTAGCTTGTAGAACCACCTTTATATAAGCAATAAGTTGATTGTTTTTTTTGTATGATATTTTCAGTCTTTTGCATGGTTGTGGATGAATTTTGGCCCGCTCTTCTTTACAGGGTTGCTTCAGTTCATTGTGGTTTGCAGGTGTTTAAATATGCGCAGCTCTCTTATGGTCTTGAAGCCTGGACTTTGAGTTTGTCATTGCAAAACCGTGTTGTACATTTGCTGCAGTTCTTGGGGTCATTGTCCTGTTGCATGAGCCAGTTTGGGCCAAGCTTTGGCTTTCATACAGATGGGCCTCACATTTTACTCTAAAAAACCTTTGGCATGCAGAGGAGTTCGTGGTTGATTCTTTGACTGCAAAGTGCATCACATCATCAGCCCTCCTTCATTGTGTTGACAGTTGATATGAGATTTTTGTGCTGTGTTATTTTTCTCCAAAAGGGGTGGTGTCTTATGGTCAAACATCTCCCCTTTGGTTGTGTCTGTCAAAAGATGCAAGTTTGTGAACAAATTGTGGTGTCACATTGGTTGTAGAGAAGAGGCTTCTTCTTGCCAACCCTTCCAAATAAGCCATACTTGTTCTTTTTTTGCCCCCCTTGTACTTCGATGAGTCTTTACACACTAACTAAGGCTGTAGAGAGATGAGACAGTCTGACATTGGGGTGAATTCACACTTCTGGGAAGGCTTTGGTTGTGTGTTGACACACACTGTAATGCTCCAGATCAGACAAAATTTGTACTTTTATAAAAGCTGTTGACACTTAATAGTGATCTACTAATTAAGTGCATCTTTTTAACATATGGCTGCTACCTACCCTTTTAATTCCTACAGAAGCTGTGAGAGTGGAACCCTGTGAAGCTTCTTTCTCCATATGTATATATTGTATGTATTATATTTTGTATAAAAAAAAAAAAAGTAAGGTTGGACCCGGGAAGCTTTATTCACAGTAAGACAAGAAAAGATGGGCGTGTGTTACTCAGGTGGCTGCTAACAGCGGTAATGGAGCTCTGGGAGAATCTTTGAAATGGGAGAGAATCAGTTAATGAAGTCCAGAGCTGTGAGGTTGCCTGAGATTGCTTAATGATTCTCAGCTTAGAAATCTTACTTTGTCAGGGGAGAAGGGTGAGACAAGGGAGGGGTAGCTGGTAGGCAGGCTGGCAAATACTTGTTTCCAAAGAAAGTCAGAAAACATGAATGCAGATGAAGAACAAATCCGACTGTGGTCTTTTGACTCCACTATAGGCAGCAGGGAGGTTTCAAAAGCAGTAAAGCAGGAACTCCAGGAGGTAAACTGGGAAGCAGATCAAACGCAAGAGTTACTTTGCGAAACTTGCAGAAATCTCAGTTACACGAGGTTGGCCGATTTACCACCAAAGTGGAGGCGACAATCTGGTGGAGACACTGCCACAGCCGGTCCTTAAGTACCTAGTACTGATGAAGGTAATGAGTTGCATGTGTGCAGAAACAAACCCGAGAAACGACAGCTCTGCCCAGCTCTTCACCTGAGAGCAAGACAGAGAGAGAGAGAGAGAGAGAGAGAGAAACCGACAGCATATACTCATATGAACTGAAAGCTCTTGTGCTTATTATAGAAGCAAATCAATATGCTTTTAAATTAAAATAAAAAACAAACCTTCCCTCAAAATGATTCAGTCCATTCTTCAACTTATTTTCTTTGCAAACTTAAAACAAAGGATGTGTGAGACATTTATTATTTATTTTTGGAACCATTTTGTTAGTTCCATTATTTCACGGTTGAATCATGTTTCAGTGCAGTTACTATACTGTTACGGGGCGCTGTGTCTCCTAATGAATGTTTATGGAGGCAGGAGGTCTGTCTAAATTTAAAATCATTAGAGCCAAATTTTTTAGTGGTTTAGTATTTATTTCTGCTAGAATTTTCATGTTCCACAGGGTTCACCCACCTAAAAGGTTCATTGTCCTCCCCAAAAGACACATCACTGTAGTTTCCAGGTCTGAAATCTTAAACCAAAGAAATTATTTAAACTCGCAATCTTTGTAATGGCCTCCAGGGGGCCACAGCTCTAGTTCCAAAAAGACTCCATATATAGATGTCTGTGTGAAAATAGCCATCAGTTCCTCTACTCTGTGACCTCAGGGAACAATTTACTAATTGATTGCTTTTTTTTAGGCCATATTCAATCAAACATGAACTTTATATGACAAATTGTGATGAGTTTTGGAGTCGGAAAAGGGGATTATCCAGGGTATAATCATGAGATAGTCCTCTGTTTCACAGTCAGATCTGCCCCTCATTTCAAGACACTAAGATGGCAACAGGACTTCACTAACCACTGGTTGAAGTCATGGTGTCCCTCTCTCCACTCCTCTGCTACCCTGTGTCTTCTTCAGTTTGGATATTGCTGAAATACAAGTTGTTCAAAAGGCATCTCTGAACCACATCAGCTAATTTGCTTTCAGATGGAAAGGAGCAGCAGCGCTAAACTCAAGGGCTATGTTGGTTGCCCTGTTTAAAGGCTGACCCAGACACCCTTCAGATGAACCTCACCCCGCCCCCCACATAGCAAGCAGGTCTGGCCCGGATCTGGTATCAAGCCGGCACTGCTGGCTGACTTCTGGCACGATAAGACATATGTCATCCAGATATGGGTCAGGTCTGGCAATGTAGCCACTGTTTATGCGATGGAATGCCATATCTGGCCGATTGTGGTTTGGTTTATGTGGCCCAGGCTCATAGAAAACAGGTCTGGCCTGGATCTGGCATCAAACTGGCACTTCTGACTGACCGGTGTCATAGCAGGGTGTATGTCAACCAGATGTGGGCCAGGTCTGGCAATGATGGCACTATTTATGTTCCTATTTTCCTATTTTAGTTAGAAGATCCAAATGTCTTGTTGCAATACTATACTGCTATGGTAGCCAAAGTTTCAAATGCAGGTTTGACAGGTTGTGAGTGGGCACTTTATCCAAAACCTATTGAGGGTTTACTCATGTTTACCACTGGGTGGTTGTAGCTCAGGAGGTAGAGCAGGTCACCTACTGATCGGAAGGTTAGTGGTTCGATCCCTGGCTCCTCCAGTCTGCATGCCAAGAGTGTGAATGTGTATGAATTTAGTTAGGAAGCACTCGGTTTAGAGAAAATGGGTGAATGTAGCATGTTGTATAGAACACTTTCAGTAATCTTGAATAGTGAAAAGCGCTACATAAGAATCAGTCCATTCACTGTCTGAACAGAGTTTTGTCATGTTACTTTTGAACTATTATGCACATGTTGTTATTACATGGCTTGATTAAGGTACACATTAGGCTGACATCTGGGGCCAGAGCTGAAACTTCTGGGCAATGACAGGGCCACCAGTGTGTCTGCAACTGGTCTTGTGCTGGCCCATGTGTGGGCCACCTCTGGCAAACCTGATCTGGGCCACCGAAGGGCCGTCATTCTTTGCGGTATGTGGGCCATGTGTAAGCACATTGTGTGGGCCAGATCCAATCCATACCAATGTTGCTATGTGGGCCCTTATATCCATGGTTTTTCTTTATTTCATTCCTTCAGTTGCCACACGCAGGTCGTGGCCATAGGTGAGGGTATCCATCTGTCTCCCACTTGTCACGAACAAGACTCTGGCTGAAAATAATCAAAAATGTATTTGTCATAAGTCTGTTGTGAATTGCAAATGCAATATTTTAATGTTTATAATGATGTTGTGTAAAGAAATGTTTTTTTTTCTGCCTGTGCTCGTCTCCAGATCAAAAGGCAGTTGCAATCTGTGACAGAGGAGCTGTGTGCGTGCAAGAAGGAGCTTGAGACACAGACCGCAGCCATAAAGAGAGCTACCCATGACAGGGAGGAGTTGGCCAAGGACAAGGCAGCTCTGGATGTCAAGCTAAATTCCGCTGACCGAAAGGCCTGTGGTTTCACGCAGGAGCTGGTTGCATTGAGGTCTGTGTGTGTGTTTGTGCGTATTTGTTTGTGTGGTTGGACCTCTGAAATGTTTGGGACCAATTTGATATTTAAAACCAGCTTCACCAGTTTGTTTTTTAGCATTTGCATTCAGCATAAATTGGAGTTAGGCTTGTATCAGTAATGTTTCGTTTGAGAGTGCAAGGAATGAATGTAAGTGAGCACAGTGTCCTCAAAAGCATGGGTGTATCTCTGTGTGTTTGTTTAAATAAAACCAACTGCCGTCGGGTATTTACGGTCATTTTGACTTTTTTAAACAAATTTTACTTTCTAAAGCGTAGCGAGTCTCGTGTAACAAGAGTCTTTAAGTAACATGGTTTTATTTGGAAACTACGCTTGTGATGGATTATTGGGTTTTATGACCTTCTACACCTAAAAGGTTCAAAGGTCTTTTTTCAGCACTCAAACCGTTTTACCACTGTGTTGCAGAGCAGAGAAGGAGTCCCTGGAGACGGCCCTGTTCGAGAGCCAGGAGCTTGCCTCGTCTCTGGAGGCCGAGCGCTCCAGGTTGGAGGGGGAGAGGCGCGGCTTGCTTTCAGCTAACGAGGCCTTGACGCGTGAGTAGCCCTCTCCCTCAGAGACCCCACTGTTCTCTTTGCCAAGCCCCCCGGCCGTGAAGCCTTTCCAGCAACCCACAAGAGATCCATATTTCAGCTGTGAGCTCTGCAACAGCTGGGCTGCAGCATCACTGGAGCTGCTTTCTCAGCTGACCAGGGTCTCACCACTCTGCACAAACATACGCATGAATCAGATAAGCAGGGGTTAAAGTGAACTGAAACGATCCAGAACAGCCCTGCGGCAGCTTTAGTTGATCAGTGGTTATATCTGATAGGCAGTTTAATACATATTATTATAAATTAAGTTAATTTTCTCTGTGCCGCAGTCTGGCTTTGCTTACAGTTGATGCCATGGAGACACTTGCTCAACAAATCAGAAAATAATATTATCCCATGGTCACGCCTGCATACTTCACACACATCCTTTTAGACTCCCCTGCAGATGTGGTATTTTTCTTTTCTTGCTATAAAACAAGTACCACAGGACGGGAGTGAGTATAATTTTTTTTTCTTTTAAGTGGCAGGTAAACCTAAATTAAACTATTCAAACTTCATCAAAAACAAAAAACCTGCTGTAACTGAAAAATGTTATGTTTGGGAACGTCACTCTCAGAGATAGGAAGGTTATTTTGAAGAGTAAACATGCCTCAACAAGAGATATTTGACAAACACATTTAAAGCTTGCATGTAATGTTACCACTTTTTTCAGAGATAGTGTAAAAGGTCTTAAATTGAACGATAATGAGTTTCTGTTTCTTAAAGGTTTTATTTAAGTTTCTGTGCGTTTAACAGCTGCAGTTCAAACTGGTTAGTTTGACTTACCGTGGTAAAGCGTGGCGCTTGTGGTGTCCATGGTCAGTGTTTGGTTAGGTATTGGGTAACAGTTAAGTTTGAATTTAAGCTAAAGAAGATGTTTAGTATCATTTGCCAAGTTCCACTTTTATACTAGCTTTATGTAACATCCACTTACGCTGCATTTCGTATTGTATTAGTTTGTCCTTTCTGTCCACTGCACCTCAAGATCTTTGGGTCTACAAATGAGTGCCATTAAGCTAGCATGTTCTTTGATAAAAACTCTGAATAAAATATTGCTGCTTCTGTAACATCAGTGGTTTTTAAAGTTTGTCTGCAACTGAGGTACATGGATGTATTTACCTGTGCAGGTGAAGCTGCTCAGATGCGAGCAGATGCTGAACGGCAATGTGCACAAGCAAAAGAAGAAAGAAGTAAGTTGGAGGAAAAGCTGGCTCAAGTTGAGAGGAGTACCCTGCTGACTTTGACCAGCAAACAGCAAATTCACAGAGAGCAGCTCGAAGCAGAACGTCAGCAGAAGGTGCACTTTGAATTTGCTGGTCTCACTGTCTGTTAATCTGTTAATTGTACTGAAGTGTCTGTTTGCTGGTCCTTAGGAGCAGCAGCGTGCAGAGCTGATGCTTCAGCGGGAGCAGGCCGAGGAGCAGCTGCGCAGACAGTGTGAGGAGCTGCGTGCGCACAGCCAGAAGGAGCTGCAGCAGGTGCGAGAAGAGCTGGCCAGGCTGAAGCAGGAGTTCGGCCAAAGTCTCCTGCAGGCTGAGAATGAAAAGCAGCAGGTACATGAGGTGGTCTTTGCAGGTTTCTTATGGTTCTTATGATTGTCAGTGATGTTTAAAATGTTTGTGTATTTGAAGGTAGGCCAGGGGACGACATCGCAATTCTGAGCATGCAGAAGATCTGCAGATGAAATATAAAAGGACTGGAAGATAATACAATTCCTAAAGAAAGCAGAAGAAGCATGAGTTACAACAGAAAAATGAAAAAAACCTGACAGAGACAAGCATTTTAAAAATGCACTCAAACAGGGTTGCGTGCAGGTATAACCAGTGAGAGGAGGAAAAACACAATCAGGTGAAGGCAATCAAGGAAACATGAAGAAAGGACCTTAAAGTAAAGGAGAATAGCACAGAAAAACAATAGTTAAAGTAAACCAGGAAGTGGAAATGAGGAAGACAAAGGTTCAAATTCATTGGTAAGACAGAGGGAGACAAAGACAGGGAAAGAGTGCAGACACTAGGACAATATAAAAATTACTGACAGTAAATGACAAGTACGAACTGTGGAACCGATTTCTTTTTGTCCAAGAACCAGTGGCCAAGTCAGCTTCTTTTTCTGAGCTACGTATGAATGATTCTGACCTCGCAGTGTGTTTTGATCAGGCTTTGTCTCAGATGGAGGCAGAGAAGGCTGTCCTCACAGAGAAGCTAGCATCCCTGCGAGAGGACCTGGCCACAGCGGAAATGGATATGGACCGCCTGCAGAGGGAATCACTTCGCAAACAGGAGCAGGACAAGGTAAAAATATGACGGGAGCATACTGGCTCTGTTCACCTTTCCTTGCCGTCTTGTAACTCGGCTGACCGGTTTGTGTTTTCATATGCTGCAGAACCAAATGGCTGTCCTGCAGTCTGAGCTGCGAGAACTGCAGCTGCATTTTGAAGAGTCTTTGAACTCGCATGAGAGTGACAAAAAGAGTCTCACTGAGCAGGTCAGAGAGTTGAACCAGCAGAGAGAGCATGCGCAACAGGAGGTAGGAACTTTTAAAAAAAGTTGATGTAAGATTTTAACTTAACCTATTTTGAGTTTATTCTCACGAGTATCATAGATCAGACCAATCTGTATTCACTGTAATACATAATCATTGTGAATTAAATACCAGCCACAGGTACCAACCAAAGGACCCTGAAACATTACTTGTTTTCTGTGATTATACTTTCACCACATAATATCTAGGAAGGTACCGTGTCTCTTGTTTTTTTTGTTTTTTTAAATATATGGTGTATCAGTTGGCTCTCACTAAATTGGCACAGGTTTGTACAGTAGTGTCACAGAAATGGTTCGGAAACTTTTAGTTTGTTTGGCTTGGCATTGGATGGGAGACCTTTCATCTGCTTCTGCTGTGAGGGAGAGTTTGCACCAATTTGTACCAGTACAAGCGAGAGCCATTTACCATAAGCCTATGTTGACATTGGCTGGTGTCACAGAGCTTTGCTAACATCAGGGTGCCATCAGGTGCAGCGTGCACTGGGCCAAATCCTGCAAGGAAAGGTGGTGCGGTGTCCTCTCTTAAGATTTCTACTCAGCTCGCAGTTTCTGTGTCCTTTTCCTGTCAAGTCCACAGGGGAAAAGTTTGGTTCTGTTGACCTTAATATAAACATTAAAGTGCAATTAGAGACTATAATTTTGGCTCAGTGACATACCTCTCGGAGCCAAATGAGGGAGCCGTAAATCTCATCTCTCAGGGTTGCTTAAGGTCAGGAATCCAAGCACAGGGTCGCTGGGCGTTTTAGTGAAATAACAAGCTCACACTCACCTCATTAAGATGTAACTGCAGAGCTGTAAAGGCCCCACCATGCCATGATTTAAAAGCTTGGCCTTCTTGGAAAAGAAGATTGTTTATCTGTGTGGGGCTTATTGGTTTCATTTTAAAAAGAAGCAAAATTTAGCGTCACCCTGTCTTCGTGCTGTCTCCTTAGTCATGTCAAAGTATAGTGAATGGGGATGAGTGGAGCCAGAGCACAAGAGTTTTGAGGTTTGGCCGGCCCTCCCTATCATATATCAAGTTAGGCTTCAGCAGCGTTGTCATATTTGGCCACCCCTGCTCGCTTCCTTGTTTGATTATTTTCACTAATCCCATCTCAGGATTCTCATGTCAGAAAGCAGGAGTGAGGACATGTGACAAAGAATCGAAGAGCATGAAAGACGAAGAACGATAAGGGGAAAGAGGTAGAACGAGAAAGAGGAGGATACGGTCTCTGGTACCATAATATCAAATCAAAGTTTAAGTTAACCCCTTGTGTAAATAAGCCGGCGGTGGAGCGTTTATTTTCTCCGTCGCAGCAGCGAGAGGCTGGCTCCGCTGGGACTCCGGGTCCCCCTCTCCCATCCGCATAACACAACACTGCTGCCCTCATATTCTCTGCCTCCTCCACTGCCCTCCACCCCAAAAAATCAGATAAAATAAAGTAGAGTTGGGCTGGATCAGCACTGGCTTGTTTTTTCTCACTTTAGAGTTTATAAGGACGAACCATCTTGTGTGGCCTCTAAACATAACACTCTTCCTCCTCCTCATCCTGCTCCTTGTCCTCCCTCTTCTCCCTCCTTCTCCCCTACCACTTCACCAGGGGGGCTGCTGTTTATCATGTCGCTGTCTTCGCACCGTGAGCTGCAAAGAGGAGACAGGGAGAGACAGCACCTGGCTAAAGGCCCAACTGGCTCTTATGCGTGCCCCGCTGAGCTCGGGCCTCCCTTCTTCTTTCACTACAACACACAAAATGTTGCCATAAAACAGAATATAGGTCAGAGAGTATTTTGAGATAGTGCAGATAATGCTTAAAATAGGAGATGTTGAGGAATAGCTTTCAAACAGTGAGGCTATGATGCATTATCCGATCCTAAGTCGGTATGCAGGAGGATTTTGTTACCAAATAAATTCTGGGCTGGAGCGAGAAAAACTCAAGAAAAAAGCTCAGTGTTTCTAAACTATTTATTTCATTTTCTTGCTCTTGTTTGTGACCCTCTAATTTTCTTTATTGATACATCATGCCTTTAATTCTCTGTAACTTTCCCATGAAGTTGGAGGGCCTCCGTCAACAGCTGCACGAGGGAGAGGATGGACGTTTTAAAGGGCAAAGGGAGTTGATTGAGGCTCACAGAGAGATTCAGGGCTGTGCACAGGAGCGAGACAAGTTACGCAAAGATGTTGTGGACCTGAGAAGGCTCTTGGGTAATGAGACCCGAGAGAAAGAAGCCATCCAAGCCTCAAACCAGGAGCTGAGAGCTCTCGTCAAGCGAGCCGAAAGTGATAACAGCAGGTATGGCTGCCATGCAAGGCACGTTGCTATAATCGTCCACCAACAGTGGATGTTTATCATATTTTTTAATGTGTAAATATTAACCACGTCTTGACTAGTTTGAGACGAGCTGTGGAGGAGAATGAGCAGAAAGTGGCCGTCTTAGAGGAGCAGAGGAGCTCAATGCAACAAGAGGCAACAGCTCTTCGGAGCGGCATGAGAGAGCTGGAGAAGTCTCGTCTGCAAGTGCGCAGAGAGCTGCAGGAACTGCGCAGACAGGTGAAGAATGACTGAGGTCACTGGTTTCCATCTGATTTATTTGAAATGAAGAATTATATCGGAGTAATTTGTGCTGTGCTGACATGAACAGGTAAAGGTCCTCGAAGGAGAGAACATCCGGCAGAAACAGGAACTGCGAGAGCTGCAGGCCAGGGTATGTGAGGAGGAGCAGAAGGAGGAGGAGGCACGTCGTGAGGCTTTCACCCTCAAGCAGAGAGTGCTGGAGTGTGAAGCTGGCAGGGAAGCGGTGCTAAACGAGGTAGAAGGCCTCCGGGAGTTAGTATGCTAACAACACGCTAGAGCAAACATTCAACCTTGGCTAACATACCTCACGTCACACTCACACAGTGACAGTCAGCATGAACCATAACACACTACTGCGCAGTGGGTTTGAAAAATCCAAATGTTGCTCAACATTTTAGCAAATTATTGAATTATAAATTCATTATTCATTCTCTTCAGTCCCATAAATTCACATTGAGGGTCCCTAAATTCCCATGACCCCTTCCAGCAGTAAGTGAATATCGGGTGGATGTGTGTATTCTGCATGCCAGAATAAATTGATGATCATTATGATATATTAGAACGCTGATTAATGATGATGTTTCCCTTTTCAAACTACATATAAACCAGTCTGTAAGCTCAGTAAACCACTTTAGGTAATGGCCAATATATTCTCCAGTTTGATCTGAAACAGGCCGGACAAGAACGTTTTTAACATAAAACATCTCCACATTATCTAAAACCAATCTGAAAACAAATGATCAAAAATAAACTCGTGAAAATAGAAGCAAAAAAATAAGTTACACGTAGCAGCAAGTCTGCAAAAAGTGCAAAACCTGTACGTTCAGAATATTTTGGAGCTATACAGCAGTAACTTCATTTCTTTATAAGCGAAACATGCAACATTGCTACAGTGGTTAGGGCTATCGCCTCACAGCAAGAGGGTTGTGGGTTTGAATCCACTGGCCAATATAGAAGAACAGTTCTATATTTCTTATTCCCGATGCTAAATACCTCTCAGCATTAACTATGTCCCACCAAAACACACTTTGTCCCACATGTAGCTTGTTGGGATCCCATCACTTAAAGTGGTCTGCATCTTTGAAACTCTTCCTTTAAACCCAAATGGAAAATAAACAGAAAGAATTGACAGGATTGTGGGTTTCATGTTATGATTTACTCGTGAGACTGATGCCCTTTTGCATTTTTCTAGAAACAAGTGCAAAGGGACACCCTCATCTTCATTTGAGAAAAGCCTGATGTATAAAACTTAAACATTTGCTATTGGAGGAAAGTTTGTTTTTATTTCTCTGACATGTAGTGGGTTATAAAGAAGGGTCAGGGTTCCACAGTATATTAATCAATTGCTGTTACTCCTTATTTTCTCATTTCTGAGGCTCTATCAGTGAAGTCGACAAGCTTGTCATCGGGAAACAGATGAACTTCTTAAAGCCATGTTGTTTTTATTTACACAGCTACATTTAGGCCACTAAAAATCCTTTGGGGCATGATTGGAACTACAGTTATCAATAATAATGTTTTAAATGACAGTTTTTCAGTGTTGTAGATCAATTTATGTTCACATTATTAATGCTGCAGTTAAAAACAGTTAAAGATTCAAATACATGTAGAGATGTAAAAAAAATTTAAAAAAAGATAATCTGATCATCATTTACAAGATTAACATATTTTGTAGTGAGATTTTGGTCTCTTTAACGTTTTGGTTAAGGAGAATTTAATAACCTGTTAATTTATTAGGTCGAGCTGTGTCCTCAAATTATAATAGATTACAAATTCTGTTATTGGTTTATCGCATTTATCACATGAACACTGCTAAACATTTTCTACTTTATGTAATTAACACATGATGGACCATATTTAGTTTTGCTGATTTTTTCTTGGTGTTTGCACAGGTCGCAGGTTTACAGCGTCGTGTGATGGAGCTGGAGTCCACGGAGCATCAGAACCGAGAGCTACTGCAGGAAAAAGAAACTTTTCAGTGGCAGAGTGACCAGAGGCACAGGGAAACCACCGCCCAGCTGGAGGCAGCACTGGAAGATGCCAGGGCGCAAATCAAAGAACTCTCCATGCAGGTTGGTGTTGCTAAAAACAAGGCCCAGAGCGTGGAGGAGCAGCTGGAAGTGAGCGATGCCAAATGCAGGGACCTGGAGCTCAAGCTGGCGGGGCTGTATGCAGCTCTGCGCCGCACTGTTGGCATCAACCACGTGAGGCTTTCAGACAAACCAGGGTCACGAAGACGGTTTCCTTCCCCTTGGAGAAGCCACTTCTATTCAAAAGGTATAGTTGGGTCTTACAATAGGGCATCATGGTGCCATGTTTCTCTCTGAAAAGTTGAATCGATGAGTGTGGTGTCTGGTCAGGAGGAGAGAGTGTGGCCAATGGATCTCTGCTCTCCGTGTCCTATGGTGAAGACAAAGAGCTAGACTTGGAATCAGTCAATACAGCCCTGCGGGAATTCCAGCAAGAACTCACAGATGCTCAAAGAGACAGGGTATATTTAAAAATCTTAATAACTGATTATAAGTTCAATGATTCAAACTCTGATATTATAGTCATGTTTTTTTTTCACTTAAATAATGGCTTTGCTTTCCTCAGGATGAAGCCAAGGCTCAGGTAGTCAGTCTAACTCAGCATGTGACTGAACTCAAAGACAGTCAGGATAAATCATCCTCCCAACTACTACAACTACAAAAGTCTCTGAAGCAATTAGAGGAGGGTAAAAACCCACTGAACTCTTCACTCATACACAAACTAGCAGTAGTTATTTGCCTAAGCAAGCAATATGTTTTACATATATAACAGATACATATATTCTTTCAGGAAAACGAGACGTGGAAGAACGATTGAACCAGGCACACACTTCGCTTTCCCTGCAGGAAGAAGCAGCACATTGCACAGAGAGAGAGAAGAGAAGCCTTGAAGAGGAGCTCAGGGCTAGTCTGCAAGCCGCTCAGGCTGAATCCAGAGCACTTCAGGTACGTAAAAAGCAAATTATTGTTGAGAGAAATGTTGACAGCATATTCTTTGAGGCTGAGGAAATCCTGTTCTTCTCCCTCTACAGGACAAGTTGGAGGTTGTTCAACAGTTAGAAACTTGTTCAAATTCAGAACAGCAGAAACTGAAGGAGTCTCTGGAGGCAACAGAAGGCAGGGTGAGAAGTCTGGAGCTTTCTCAACGTGCTCTCGAAGGCGAGCTGCAGAGGGCTCAGCTGAGAGTGGCAGAGCTGGATGCTGAGGCAGGTGCATTACAGGAGAGGCTGACGGACATGAGGAGAAAACTGGGTGAGAGTGAAGACCGGTGCGCTGCGCTGAGGTTTAGTGAGGAGAGACTGGCCACGTCATTGGCTCAAGCTGAACAGCATGAGAGTCAGCTGAGAGAGCAGATTCACAAACTGTCAAACACCCTCAATGACAGCAGGAGCAACACGGGAGCCCTGCAGGAGCAGATAACGCAGCTGCAGAGGGCTCTGACTGCCAGCGAGCAGGACCGAAGGCTGCTGCAGGTACAGTCTCTCACCTGAACCCTCCATCCAGCAGGAGAACAACTCCCATGTTTTAGCTGGCCTCATCAGCTCTGGCATATTTTTTATTTACTCTGCTGTGGTTTCATTCAAACTCGTCAAAATCTGAGCAGTAAATTAGGCACTACATCTATCCCACCGAGCATTTTATCCGTTGATTAGAGGTCTAAAAGATTCTAAATGGTCCGTGGCAATCAAGACTGAAATTGGGTTAAATGTGAAATTAAAAAGTGAAATTAAGTTGATCTTTCGATTCGATTGGACTTTTGTGACACAATGTCCAACTGCGCTAAAATAAATGAATTGTTGATAATGTATCAATACTCTGCATTCACTCATTTGGCTAAAAATCTTCCGTCTGCGTACCCAATAAAGGAAAGAGTAAAAGTGTCATGACTTCAACCAAACGGGGGATTTCAACAGCCATTTGTCAGAGTAAATGTCCTAATATTTGCTAATATTTGCTAACATGGTGCCACAAGTGAAAGAAGCACCTGGAAACCAAATGTCCCTTCTGAGAGAAACTTCAAAAGAGAGTTGGCTCTGAACCAGAGGCAACAAGACTGTTGGTTGGACTCTGATTGTGCCTGATACGGAGATGAAGGCAAGATGTAAGCTAGTGGAGTATTCTTGCAAAAACATTTTACAAACGGGCTTTCACAAAAACCAAACAGAAACTGATGGATATGACACATGATCTAGAGGCTAATTTGCACAGAAATGAATACATCTGTGCCTTGAATTGTTTGGCTTGTCTTTGGTGTAACTTGGGCACAAAAGGTTTTCAAAAACACTGATTTAGATTTGGAAGGTGCAAATGAATATGTTTAGTAAGGCGACCAAAGTGTATCAAGAGGGGTTATTTGAGTTACTTCTGCACTCTTATTAGCAGTCTGGCCATTTTGCTCTGACCTTTGACATCAACAAGTCATTTTCTCCCAGAGAACTGCCGCTCTCTGGATATTTTCTCTTTTACAGACTATTTTCTGTAAATCTTAGAGATGGTTATGTGGGAAAATCCCAGGAGCTCATTAGTTTCTGAAATACTTAGACCACCTGTCAAAACCCAACAACATTCAGACTATCTTAAATCATCATTCTTTTACGCTTTGGTGCTCAGTTTGAACTTCAGCAGGTCATCTTGACCATGTCTAAATGCTTTACTGGACAGGGTCCTTCCGTGAAAAAGGTGATCCATTGCGTTGTGTTTTTGTCGATGTGCATGTGTCCATAGGAACGTCTGGATAAAACACGAGACGCCCTTTCAGAAAGTAAGAGGCTGAACCACATGCTCGCAGAGCAGAACCAGAACCTTCAAAGAGTCCAAGAAAACTCAAACTTTAATATTTCTGAGCTAGAGAAACATAACAGAACACTAAAGGAGGTGAGTCACAGTGGTAGAAGTGTAAGCAAATACAGGTACAAAGGTCAAGACACTGTTTTGATGTGTGGTTGATTAACTGTGTCCCAGAGCCTAAAGCAACAGCAGGAGGCTGAGCTTCAAACCTCCCAGCAGCTGCACAGAGAGAAGAAAGAACTCCAAGAAAAGGTCGCCAATCTCCAGAGCTTCTTGCAAAAGCGAGAGAGCGAGAGAGCTGAGATCGAGAAGGTGGTGACACGCTTTGGTAAAGACAAATCTGCACTTAGAAAGGCGCTGGAGAAGGTGAGCTGATTGGCCTGCTGCACAGTGCTTTCAAACACTGATTACACTTATCAGCTTTCTCCCCGAAATTCAGAAAGCTGGGTGAGATTCTGTGTGGCTGTTGTGTCAGTGTGTAAAAATAAAACCTGAAACAATTAGCATTAAAAACTAATACATTTTGGTAAGTGCTATACAAATAAACTTTATTATTTAAACAAGGGATCACCAAAAATGCAAAACAGGAGAAACATCCATAATCTTTAGTTGCTTTACTTCTTATTAAACCCTGAAGGGCCAAAGCTTTACTTTAGGAGCTAACATGTCTGAGTAAAGTTTTTTTTTTTTTTTTTTAAGATTGTGTTTCTCATATCAGTGTAGTTTCCTTTATTTATGAGAGATGTTCTAAAATACTCTAATGTCATTATTTATGGAATCTAAGTAATTTTATCCAAATCCATCATATTTCCACCTGATCTTTATGCCATACTGTTCCACTGTAGAAGGGATGTATTGCCTGAAACTACACCCGCCTCTGAAAGCTACCAACTGTTTATCCAAACAGAGACCAGTACCAGGGAGATAGTATTTGGGTATCTGGGCAACAAACAGTTTTCCAAATAAGCAGCAAGTTTGTCCGAACTCTGGTTGCTCTGGTTGTCAAACGAACAAAAAAACGTGGACTTTTTAATATCTCTTAATGTTTCTGTAGTTCTGTTATATTTGATGCACGAATGCACAAATATATTTTACACAAAATCCCCATTATCCTCGTCACACCAGTGGACCGGTTCCTGTGAAAACTATGAAAAGTTGTAAGAAAAGTAAATTGACAGATTTATAATGTTTACAATTAAAAATATCACAACAGCACGTGTAAATATATGTGTGGGGTTACTGGAATGTTAAAGTCAGTCGATCAAGACACGGTATACACGAGATTTCAGTCAGGTGTTAGAATACACTGATTGTTAAAAATGTTTTACTTGTGCGGAGAAGATAAACTTCTTCATGTGGCACACAAAACCTAATATTATAAAGCTGCCAGCCTTAACAAACACAGGGGAAAACACAGATGCTGTAGTTATAAATAAGCATGAAAGAGGATTATTCATTATTTGGGGCTTTTATGTCATAAATCAACATAAAAGTAAAAAAAATAAGAACAGTAGTGACAAATACTGAGAATGAATCCCAGTTACTAAAAAGCAAAAAGCTGAAACAAGGCATTAAAGCCACGATCTTAATTTTTTTTTTAAACCCGGGCCCTAAAGTATTACTCTGCTTTTGGTCAGTGGACCTAAAATATATTTTTGCTGAATATGAGGTAAAATATCTGTAATATACGAGGAAGCCAAACCACAATTGGCTTTAAATGTAATTAAAGACTGCAAATTCTACAACTGCTGGAAGCCTTTGTGTGACAGCAGCCAGGTCTGAAGTAATCCACGTTTAGTGTTGGTCAGAAGGCTCCTGGACCAAGTGAAGACATATAAGACACATAAAAATACTGAACACTGCCTTTATTATTCTGTAGTTTAGTGTTATTATTTCCTGAGCTTTCTGTTTTCTGTAGAAAGTCATCCCAAACTGAGGGAAATACGGAGGTGGACTGTGGGAACCGAGAGGCTCTGTGCTCGGCTTCTGCTACACCGATTACAGGAAGGCACACGGGTGCAGAACAATCATGGTAAAGTCGTTCACGTTATGTCACCCTCGTGCTGTTGTCAGGTGGAGATGGAGAGGTTGAGGAAGGAGGAGGAGGCAGCGTCTGTCGCCAGAGCACGAGAGGAGCTGGAGCAGAGGGTGTGGAGCCTGGAGCAGCAGCTGGCTGGAAAACAGAACGAGATGCAGACTCTGCAGGTGAGAAGCTCCAGGATTACAGCAGAGGACGAGCAGGGACTGCACTGGCAGCACAAACTGTTTTATAGGATCTATACGTAATCCTCAAACAATCCAGCTGTTCCAGCAACTGAAATTATGGTTATATTTTCATCATTTTTAATGGCTATGTTGTTTCTCATAGCATCCTGTTTCCTTCATCTATCACAGACAATCTAAAGTTTTCTAGTGTGCGTAATGATGATGTTAAAAACTCCAAATAAACGGAAAAAATCATTTCAGCTGTCATCGCTTCAAGATACTGAATTTAATTGACACTGAGTCATTTCTGTGCACTCCATCGCTGCTAGAGACAGTATGAAAGATTGATTGGTTAGTGTAGTCAACTCAATGCGATGAGCAAGGGTTGGATCTGACTTTGAAACCACACACACCCGGGATAATCTTTCTTTCTGGCTCTAATAACAACTATAATTTACAAAATGGACTTCATGTTTTACTTAGTATGACCTGAAAGTAGAGTCCATAAACTCATCAGAACATTTTTATTGTAAAAGGATTGAAGGACAAGCAGTACCAGCAAACAGTTTCACAGCAAATATCATAAAGACATTTAGTAGCTTGAAAAGGAAAATTACAGCGTCGTCGCATGTTTTTTATTAACCAAAAAGTAATTTTAAGTGCTTAAATAATGACTCACCTGACTAATCTAATTAAAACGACTCTAAGATGATGTTTCTGAGATAAATACCATCCATTTTCCACTGGTGGGTCAGTCTTGTTATGACCTACGATGTACATACTCATGTACATGTACATACATATAGAGTTGACTGGGCTAACTCAGTTAAGCCTTTCTGGACCCAAAGAAGAAGACTTTCCCATCTCAAAGTTCAGGAGTTAAACTCTAAGTTTGTGGTTTCTGGAACAGGATCCAGATGTTGTACAGCTGTGGCATTCAGGTGTGGCAGAGAGAGAGAGAGAGAGACGGTGTCTTCCATAAAGAAGCCAAAATGTCAGTGGATCTGACAGCAGCCTATAAAGACACAACAAAAGAAATGTGTAAATCAGAAAATGCAGAAGTTAAAGACAGCTGCCTTCCAAATAATGTGTTTGTAAAAATTTGTGATCAGAGAACCCCACCAGGAGACACTAAAAGTACACAAAAACCCGAATTTGACCTTTTCTCTCTGTGTTTTCAGTCTCATAATCTTTTCTAAATTGTCCTCAGGCCCACATCTCCCAGTCAGAGCATGCTCACGCACACCGCCTCCTGGAGGTGACAGCACGCCACCACCAGGAGTTGGATATGGAGACGGAGCGTCTGAGAGACAATCAGCTTCAGGCAGAGCAGGCTTTGGAGAGCAGGGAGAAGGCACATCGACAGAGGGTCAGAGGCCTCGAAGAACAGGTATTTTAAATCTACCTGTGAATGTTTTCTGTGTGATTACAGATATTGTTTTTTTTTTTTTTAATTTTATCTGGTTTTTTTGCAGTTGCTGGCGCTCAAAGAGCAGCTCGATCAGGAGACGAGAAGACGACAGGCCTATTTCAATCAGATGCTTCAGCCCGGCATGTAGTGAGAGTGAGAGCGTGCTCCTCCGCCTCTGTTGGCTGCTTCCCAACAGCGTTACGTTTCAACCTACATCTCCATACAGAGAAACCCACTCCTGCATTCGCTCCCACCTCGCACATGTGCACCCAGGATTACATTAATCCAAAGGAAAACTCAACAACAACAAACAAAGAGCGTTTTGTTTATAAGTGAACTGGATGTGCCAAATTGTTTTAAGGATTTCCTCTGACTCACCGCAGTTGGCGTTTCTAAGTCTGCTCATGCTGTGTCAGTTTTCTTGGTTCATACTTTCTTCTTTTTCCTAGATTTTTTTTTTATTTTTGCAAACTCATTTGTCATATTGATCATGTGAATCCCAGTAAGAATATATATGAGTGCAGATCCAAATATTTAGAATAGTCATTGGCAGATTTTAAATGATTTTTTCTTAGGATGTCAAAAAGACTAAATAAATGAATGTTATCATGTGTGGTGTTTGACTTAATCAGTACTAATGGTGCAGAAGTTTTGATTATTTTCAATAAACTAAAGCGCAGTTTCAAAGTTTCACAATAGTGTTGGCTCTTTCACGACGTGTGAGTTTTGCACTCTTACAGCATTTGTGAATTTAGTGTTTCTTGTTTTCCTGTGTGAGAGAATGACCTTCTGTCGCTGTTGCCATAGATTTCTGTCAAAGATAGGTGCGCACTCCTCATGATCCTTTAAAAGTTCACTGCCACTTATCCTGTAATCATCCACAGCCCTGAACCATTGCAGTAGCATGTTTTCATTCTGACTTTGAGTATCTTAAACACCAGTAACCCGTTTCCATTTTCTTCCATTTAAATTCACACTTATTTCCCCAACAGTTCACACACATGTCTTCTCACTGTGTCACATAGCAGGAGTTTCACTGAAAGGGGAAAATCCTGTCAGAGTTTCTTTAAAGCAGCCCTTTGATTACCATAGATCCGCCCAGTGCTTATCCAGTTACCGGCCTCGTTCTAGCTATTGGCTAGAAGGAGCTAATTATGCAAGGTAGTGAATCCCTGTGGGGGAGGTGGGGCCAAAGCTGAAAGAACTCCTTTGGCAAGCAGAATAGAGCTTTTATTGAGGATATTTCTAAGCTGACTATCAGGGACCAAATCACTGGATTGTTTTTAAAAAAAAAAAATCTCAGCTGAATCAGGTTGCTCCCCCTCTTTCATTCCTTTCCTTCGTTTCATTTCAGTGAGACAGAGTGTAGCTCATGCAGTGCCCAGCAGAAAGCAGAATGCAAGGAATCTGCAGTATTCCCCTGTCTCACACAAGAAGCCCAGTTCACCCCTGAAGGACAAGTGAGGAGAACCAGAGAGCAGTTAGAGGAGGATTCAGAGGGAGAACGTGTGGTCTTGTCTTGTTCTGCTCTGCTCTTGTTGCCTCAGGTGTACGCGCTCCTCCCTCTCCTCCGCTGTGCCTGCTGTCAGCTCCATCCCTGGGTGGCTGAGGCCATGGTGCTGGTGCTGGAAGCCCTGCTGCCCTGCTTCTGCACCCTCTTCTTCCTGACCCTGCTGCCCGGCGTGGAACCCGCTGTGCCCCTGGAGGACTTCTACCCCTTTGGCCGGGACAAGGGGGACTCCCAGACCATTGCTCAGGATGACGGCGGCTCCGGGCTCCTGGAGATCTCTGTTGCATTCCCCTTCTTTGGAGACAGGCACACAGGACTCTATGTGAGTACAGAGGAGTGTGTTTCTGCTGATGTGTTTTGAAGTCACTGGTTATGAGTGTGCATGCACTTGGTAGCTGGCAATTGGATCTGAAATGTTGTGGATCGTATAAGAGCCTCAGGGAGCTGAGATGTGGCACACAGCCAAATACTACATTGCGGTACCCTCAGAGAATTTGTATACGTTCATGTAGAATATCGCGTTTTCCCCTCACGGGTGTAATCATACTCCTCTGTGACTTTCTCTTTACATCTGCCCCTTTCTGCACTCTGAGGTCCCTCGAGTGTACAGAGGCAGAGCAAGAGACAAACTATTAGCAGCACAGTGGTAACTCCTGTTATAATAAATCTGCAAAGAGCTGTTAAAGGAAGTGACAGTTTGTGTTCTTACTGTCGCCACAGCATCTGTGAGTGGTTCTCTTTTCAGAAGGAGCGAGAGAGCGGAGGGAAAATATGCACAGCAGAGAGAGAGAGAGAAACAGCACTCATGGGAGGAAGCCCAACGGTTTGACAAGGATTTTCGCACAGCACAGTGAAACAGCCTTTGATCTGCCTTTGTCATGTATTGGGTTCGGTTCCAGCGCATGGAAAGGCAGAACTCCCTTAAATCAACACCACCTGTTGTGGTGAGGCATCTGCGTTTGCGCTTCATATCTCCCCTTCCTCCCTCTTCAAACACTGGGCGAGGGAGGCTGAGGAACCATGGCAACAATGGGCAAGGTCAGAGGTTGTTTTTCTAATCTGAGCGTTTACGCCACGAGCGGTGAGGTCAGCCTCCTCATGTGGAAAAATGTAAAACTCTCCTGCATCTAAACGCAGCGTAAAGACAGAGACGCGATGTTTACGAGCACAACTGCTGGCACTTCTCCTTTAACAATACTGATACTCTGCAGTGAAATTAGACAAGATAAGACATGTTGCTGTTTGCTTGGCTTGTTGATCTTAGACTGAATTATCATCTGATAGAGAGATAACAATCTAAATCTGAAAAATGTGCTGTGTTGGTAGTGATGTGATACCCCGTGGCTCTTGCTTTGCGTCTCATTCTGAGGTCAGAGAAAGCAAAAGCAAATTATAGAAACCACTTGAAATTACAGTCACGCTTGTTTTAAAACCTCACCTGAATCCATTTAACATGCGCTGTAAAGCAGGCGGCCCACAGGGCAATATCTGCCACCAGAGAGCTGCTTTGAACAGGTAATATTTCAGTGAGTACTAAAGGGGTAAATTTGTATGAATAATTTCTCCCAGGAGTTTGTTCCAAGCCTCTGGGCTACATGGAAGCTGCAGAATCAGACTGGTTTTAGATGGTTTGTGGGCGCTGTCACGCTTCATTATCATAACTGATTCTGCTGAGCAGTAAACATGCCTCGGAGCGTATTTCTGAACCAGGACGTCTTGTTTGCAGGAGTTTCCGTAGATTTAAGGATCATCACAGCCATGCAGCGCTTGTTTACAGATACTTTTAATGTCACCTAAGATACCGACTTGGTCCCACTCCAGTCCCATTTCTGCCTCGTAACCAGGCTGTCCCTCTGTTACGGTCTGTGTCAGGGAGTTTTCTCATGTTTCTCTCCTCCTCCGGGTCCTCCCTCCCCTCCTCCCTTCCTCCCACGCCTCAGATAACATGGCAGGGGTCTTCCCCCTGGAACTGTCCAGCTGCTTTATCTGAGAAATGACCAATCACTTTAACATAATGCAGATGTATCTGCAAAGAATCTTAGAGGGCTTCTAAACAATGCGTTTCATGGATTAACTACTCTTACGGATGACCGGCGTAAACACAGCGAAGGAGCACATCCAAGGTCAGAGAGGAAAGAACACAAGTTTAAAAGCAGATGTGGGAATAGACGGGCACGATCAAAGGGAGTTAGTGCAGAGAGAAACTCTCATGGATAGTGGAAAAAGTCCCAAGTCTTTCAGTGGATTAAATAGACTGTCACTGGAAATAAATGCACGTAAACAACATTTCAGTACATTTAAATGTTTCCACCGAGAACGTTCTACAGCATATCTGTATTTTTACAGATTACACATCTGCTAGTGCTGATCTGGTCTTCTGAAGAGCACCAACACTTTGTGCAGTTTCATTCACTCGTTTCACTCACCACCGTGTATGGCCCAAAGATGTGTGCGTAGAGTTTTATTCTTTGTACTCTGCATGGGTGCATTTTACATGCATGTGTAGGATGAGAGATGTGTGTTATATTAGAAGCAGTTCATCCTCCAATGGAAACGATTTTTCTGCACATACTTAAAAACGTCTTAAAGTGTTCAAGTGAATGATGCTCTTTTAAAGAATCGGGCTTTTGGGAATACACTTCTTCTCTTTGTTGCAGAGAGTTAGCGGAGGAGGCTGATGCCACTTTGAAGCAGTTTAAGGGAAATTTCTCTAAAACTAACACTTACTCACAATGGGAGTACTTCAGCTACAGCAAAGCTGGAGTATTTATTTGTTCACAGGTAATGCATGACCCAAAAATAAATGAAATGCCCCACTGTTCACCGGTGTGTGTAGGATTGTCCCAACAATGTTAATCAATCTCAGCTCATGAGGAAAAACTTTTGTTAGTTTTGTTGATGGAAGAAGTCAAGCGTCTCGTATTTGCTTAGTTATGGCCACAGTGATTCTTTCTGAGATTCTGGACTTTTATTCGTGATGACTGAGCAATGCCTGCGTGCTCTTGCACATGCACTACACAAAGGTCAAGTGTGTGGTGGTGATTGCCCGATGAATGCCTGGCCTGGGTGTTCCCAGCACTCAGGATAAAACAATACAGTTCTGTATGTAAGAACGAAATGTAGGCTTTTTCTTTGGCAGTGCATACAAAGCAACAGATTCGACTCCAACTCGTACACGTGTCAAGTGCCCCCAAAAAATACTGACTCTTAATATTTTTTTGTGTGGAGACAAACACGTTGCATTAAAGCAATGTAGAAAAAAAAATCTACTACACACACAAAAAAACGGGTGAGGTCCAAACACCAAGAAACATAGAGCACAATCAATCTTATGGTGGCCCTCACGAAAAACGTCATGACAGGAAGCAATCATAAAAATATAGATTTATTTAATCATCATGAAAAAGTCATCAAAATACAAAAAGTAATGCGTTAAAATGTTACAGTACACTAAAGAATCGTATACATGTATATATAGATCACATTCATTTTTTTAACTGTCTACAAAAGCATTATAAACACAAATCACATCATGAATAAAAGTGTCAAACCTAAAAATCTTCTAACAGTGAGAGATTATTGATTGTTTGGATTGCACTGATGACGACTCATTGCGAAACACGTTTACTTTGCCCACAGGCAAGATGAATGTGACGAGCGACACAGGGCTCTGACCCGCGCACTCATTGGCTAACAATGTTTTAATCTGTTTCTGGATTATCGTCCTTTCTGACACAGAATGGCCAAAATTTACAAAACAGACTTTATGTTCCATTTAGCATGACTCAATATGAATCCCCACAGTAGACTTGTGACTTTTGACCATTAACATCTGGTAAAGGCCCTCAGCGACCCTGAATTGGATAAGTGGGAGAAAATGGGTGGTTGGATGGACCCGAAATAAGTGAATGAGGCCATAAACTCAAAGGAAAGTGTTTATTGAGGTCAGGGCTGAGGGACATTATCCCATAGACTTCTAGAGGACTGGAATCTTTTTCCAGCCACAGGTATCAGCCCCTGGAGGCCATTAAAAAGAATGCAGTTGTGAAGCTACATCCATCTCTTATACTGTGTATGGTCTTCCTCAGTAATTGATTTTTGTTAGAAGAATATTTAGCAGTGCTGGTATTCTGTTTGGTTTTGTATGTGGCAGAATGTGAAGAA